AACTAGGTTACCTGCTATTGTCGTCTTGTCCTAGACAAGTGCTGGAAGAATGATTGGTAACTGCAGATCAATGGGACAAGTCCTCATTTTGGTCGCCATATCTAGATAGCTGGAACTCACTCCATTTATATGAGAGCAACAGACAGAAATAAAAAATCTACCCACACCACACCCAACCCTGCCAGGGCATAATGTTTCTTGATCTTTTGCTAGCAATACCAGACCAGTCAGGAAATAATTGACTCTGATTGGTTGTCCAAATCTGAACATCCTTTCCCCAGCTGATCACACTCAGAAGGGAAGAAATCTTATCATTTCTTTGGAAGCAATTACAACAACAAAAATCAAACAAATTCTTTAGTCCACAGAGATATTGAGAAAAATGGATCTCATCTAGATGCTTAACTGATACGTGAAAAAGAACCCAAACCATAGAATATTAGAATGGAAGGGGCTATGAAACACAGAAGATTAGTGCTAGAAAGGACCTTAAAGATCACTGAATCCACCATCCTCCCATTTGTAAATGAGAAGAGCAAGATCCAGAGAAGGACAGGGATTTGCTCAAAGATACATAGTTAGTAGCCAAGTACGGCTTTGAACCAAGTCTGATTCATTGCTCTATCAAATCAAGGTGCTTATTGACAAACCACTTACATCATACACAGTTTCACATCACATGCAGTTTTCAGTCTAGTTCAGAACCCCTTGGGGCAGAATTTCAAAGCTTGAATGGAACTTGGTGAGGTTATCTAGCTCATCCTGTGAACCCTTGCTCCAATTAGGGAAAGAAATGTTTATTGATGCATTCCATAACTTGACACATATTGACAAGTTTCTGTGACTTCACCTCTTGTTATTCATTGTGCCACTGGAAAATAATTCCCTAGTTGCTACTTTCATAAAGTCACAGAACCACAGAATATTGGAGCTGAAAGGGAGATCAACTAGTTTTCCCTTGCAATGCAGCTGCTGATTTGACTTAACTTTCTTTCTTCTGGAATTTGTGGATTCATGGTATTGTTCTGAAAATGAGTCAGTTGTTTTCTCTAAGTAACTATGAAAAAAATGTGATTTAGGTTAGTATTATCTTTATTTATGGAATTTGACAGTTTATATGTGTTAAAAAGATAATATTTGCTTCCCCTACCCTCCTACCCTCCAGCTCAGTTGATGTGGTCACAGGATAGAATTACAGATGATGAGGTATTAATGTGTTGACAAGGTGTTAACAGTTCCATTTAGGAAACATTAACATCTGTGTCTGAGTCATAAAGGAACAACATCATTGGATGAACAATAGCTGGCCATGCCTAAGATCACTCTTTAAAGATACACTCCAGGCATTTCAGGATCTAGGTATGAAGCAGATCTAGGTAGGAAGCAGTCAATAATCTAGGTAGATCCCAGCTTTTCATCTTATGGGAGAGAGGAGAGGATTTTCTCTCCTCATCTCTCCAGCCATAGTAAATTGTGTCAGAGCTATTTGCTCAGGAGACACTCAATTCAGCACTTTGAAAGTTCATAGATTCTGGACAGTCCAGACAGGAGTCATTAATCATGTACAGGCATACACTCTCCACACAGTCATAGAGAGAGGTAGGTAGAGAAAGCCAGATATAAATGCAAGAGAGCTGGCCGTGGACATTGAGAATTGAGTTTCAGAGAGGATTCCATGAGGAAAGAAAACATTAAGGCCTTAAATTCTAGAGTTATGAGTTATGTTGGCTATATGTGTTTCCTCTGTGTGCCTTCACTACCACTGTACTTTCAGTTTTGTGCCTACTTTTCCCATAAGTGCTGTATTTGTGAGATATTCTGTCTCAGGATTTTAGTGGGAATGTTTTGTAGCTACTATTCTTACTATGCCATCTTTTACTAAGAGCTAATTGTACCTACTGTTTGGCTGCTAATTTAAACTAGTAGGGGCTTACGCACCAATTATCTTGATGTTCCTGTCTCATATCAGCAAGGCACCACTTGTATGCCTACACTCCATTGGGAGGCTCTTTTCAGATGCCTCCAAACAATGGCTATACTCTATAATCTCATCTACTTGACTGGGTAACTCATCCAATTGACCAAGGACTCCTCTGATTAACTCACTCTTACATATACTTCAACATTTCAATGCAAAACTGAAACTAGGAATTCATGCACCTGTAGCAAATTTCATTAACTTAGGATGTGTGGAGTATGCATGGAAAATGGAGACCAAGTTATGAATATCCCTGTTATATGACTGGAGATTAGAGACAGAGGTCATAAGGAGTTGAGGAGGTTAAGGAATTTTGAGGCCAAGGCATTCAAAAGAACAGACCTAGGGAGTAGGAGTATGAGCCATGGGGAGGAAGGAAAGTTAACTGGAGGTGCATAGATGACAGCAATAAGGATCTGCAAGTAGAGAAGAAAGCTAGTTGTTGAACGATAGTGGCAAAGGGATAGTCTGGATATGGCAGTGAGAAACAATGAGTATGCCAATTCCTCTTCCTGTCTCTGTGTATCAGCAGATATGAACAGAGGAAACTATTGGAGAGGGTACCAAGAGATGTGATAATTCCAGGAGAAAGCTAGGTGTCAGTAAGAACCATAAGATGAAAGGAAACTGAGAGAAATGTATCTATCATTGATTGAGAGCTGGAAGGGACCTCTGAGCTCACCTAGCCCACTTCTCTTATTTAAAGATGAGGAAACAGGTCCAGAGCAGTGAAGTAACTTGTCTGGTATCACAACTAATAAATGATAGAGACAAGATTCAAAGTCAGGTCCTCCAGCTCTAAATATCTATTCCACCCAAAGAGAAGACTGTTGGGGAGAAAGGTCTAACAGTTACCAAATCCTAGAAGGGATGGCAACTCAAGCATGGAGAGTTGGTGCTGAGAGGAGTCAGGAGGAGGCAGAAAACATTGCCTGCAAAGAATCATGCTCCTGAGATACTGGCAGCTGTGGCACAGACCCAATCTATAAGCTAGTGCTGGCTATTTGTGATTTCATCAATGTAAGTATTCCAGTGGAATACTTTGAAAAGATCTCGACCTAACTATGACTTTAGAAACTGTGAGATTCTTATGTCCTTCCATATATTCTCATTTGCAGTTCTATCCAAAGTGCTGGAGACTGTCTTCTAGGTGTTTTAACATTCCATGCATACCATTGCAACCTTGGAAAAATTCATGTAATCCCTTGATACATGACCAGCCAATCTTTTCTGGTCATAATTCTTTGATACCTTTTCCCTACTTGTACATGTTCTCATTGGTATTAGGTTGTTACTGTTGTTGTTTGTCCTTCATTCTCAAAGAGGACCATGATATCTGGAAGATGATGCCATGACTTGCAAGTGAATTGGATTTAAGTGAGAGGGCTCTGCAAGGTCACCATTCTCACTTTTTTCCTCTAGAGCCATCTGGGTCTAATGGCAAGACTTTTGATTCTTTGAAGACCGTGGTATTCCATGACTTGGTGCCACATTAGTGTTTAAAACATGGATTTTCTGTGTTAAGAAGTACAGTAGCTGGGGATTGTTGAAAGGGCTGCACAATTTGCCAAATGTCATCTGGTCTATTGCCTTTCCCCTGTTCAATTCTAGTCCCAGTTCATTGTCCATCTGCAGTACCTACCCAAGATGTGCCGATAAATTAAGAGGCTGCCCATCCAAGAATATATCACAGTCTGGGCAATAGGCATTCTTTATCCACTTGATTTTTACTCCATGAATTATGAGGCTGGTCTCCATTGGACAGCTGTGACCTTTTTTGAGGCCTCCTGGGGCTTGAATCAATCAGCATATACTACTTGAAAAAGAGAACCATTCCTTTGAACTCCATACAAGACATCCTCCATGATTTTGTATGTTATGATCATACAAAAGTCCTTGATAATTGCAATTAGAGATAAGATTATCTAATAATCCTTTCTTGCCCCTTTGCTACCTTTTATTTAACCTATGCTAAATGGGTTTGGTCACAAAATGGTTTGGTTCCTTTCTGTCAAGTTATAAAATTAAGTTCGGTAATATGCTGAAAGAATAGGCTTGGAAACAGCAGTGGGGCAGACACAATGACGTCATATGCCTTTAGGATAAATGAAAGCTCAAAAAATCAGATCAAGGAGAGAAAATGGGGAAACATAAAATGAGAAGTGTGTTGGCGTTAGCTGTACTGGAAGACAATAGCATGGTTGTTGCAAGGAGATTGACATATAAGTATCAGCTTTGAATTGGGATGAGAGGAAGTACATGGATACCAATATGTAGCGAAGTATTTAACTCTGTACTCTAATTAAAAAGACCTTACAGGGCCAAAGTTTTGATAACAGCCTATCGTAGATAGGAATAAGATCAGTGTTGGGAAAAAGCTTTATCATTTCATTTTACTTGGAAGACTTTTTTATCTATGTCATTATTATGGTACATTTGAAGAAGTTAAGGCTAATATCTTTGTTCTCCAAATTATTTGGCAATTTAGAATAACACAGTAGAATAATGATTTTCAGAAATAATCTTGAATGTCTTCCATCTACTGAGGAATTCAAATTCGTTGGCTGGTTTTCAAAGTGCTTTATTGTGATTTAGCACCATTCTGCTTTCCTATGTCCATTTCATATTGTTCCTCTCCATATACTCTACCCTTCTAGTCAAACTGGACTGCTTGCTATCCATCACACACCTTCCATCCTTTTCTACCTATGCCACTGGTGTTCATGATATTCCTACTCCTTATTCTTCCCTTACCTTTTGCTTTCTGAAATCTTAGTCATCCTTTAAAGCCTAATTCAAAGATCATCTTCTCCATGGCCTTCCTTGATTCCCTTACTAAGGAACTAATCTTCCCACAAACATTTTCCGCATGTCAAATTCCCCCACCTCTTAACTGCAATATCTGAGAGCAGAGATCTTATCATATCTCAACTTTGTAGCTTTCCTAATTGCTAGCACAAGGGTCTGCATATAGGACACAGTTAGTAAATGTTTAATTTTATTAAAGAATTGATTTATTAGACATAAGTGAAAGTGTAGAGTGGTCCATGCCTATTTTTCTTAGGTTCTCCCTCCCCCAAGTCTAAAATCTAAAAAGTAACATGGGTCTTACTGACAGGTATTGGAAGTTAAGGAATCCTGGTTGGAAGGAAACTGCCTAGCTAAGGCTTGCCTTGAAGGCTTTACTGAACACCACAACTGATTTCTGTGAACCTGGGAGCTTTTCAGGAATACATACAATGAAAGTGTATGTCAACATATGTAGAGAACTGCATTGTCCTAATATTTGTGGAGAAAAAAAACCATTTATTTTTAAAAAAAAGAGGAAGTTGATTTCATGAGAAAACAGATTTCAGCTTTAGGTTTCTAAACAAGGGTGGCACATAGAGAAAAGCAATTTTTAAAATTATGAAAAATGATGCAGTGATGCAGAAGTTTCATAAGTAAATAAGATTGTCTGGAATTTTCCATACTACAGTAAAGCACGAATTTCTGACTCCTCTGAATGAAGAACAATGTTGAAGCACAATGTAATTGCTCCTATAAACTATGCATTTGACCACAGTACGTAAAGTGGCTTCTGGAAATTGCTGCTTTATTCAGCCACTGCCACTGCTACTGACACTCTTTTAAAAATGTCCAACCATTGCTTTGATGTGTGACTATTAAATGCAAAATCATTTTGTAGAATCATAGAAAGGTATGTACCTCTTCTAAGTGCGGCATGTTTGTGTCCATTGTCAGAAGAAGGAAGAAAAAGTCATTTTTCATCACTAAGTCTAATCGTTAGAGAGTATGAGTTAACAGGAAAACCATTTGAAGTCACTGTCTATAGTTAGAAGAAACTAAGTGAAATTTCATCAAAGGATAATTGGAAAATTATATAACAAAATCCAAAGCATATCAAATGAATCTGGAATAGACCAACACATTTTTTGGGGGAATAAACCAGATATTTTAAACAATGGGAGGTAAAGTCACATTCATTCAGGAGGGAGGAAAGAGAGACACAGTTATCCTGGCTGGCTCTATTTTTCTTCCCAAATTGCAAATGCAGGCCTGGGCCCTATTCTGTAAAGATGAAAGGCTAATGTTAATTAACATAAGCTCATATTTTATTTTACTCTAAGAAAATCCTTTGTGGTACCTAGGAAGAGAAAGTAAATGGATATAAAAACCCTTCTCTAGCTTCTAAAACAGAGAAACCTTTGAAATTATAAGGCATTAAAATAAAACTCCAAGACTTTCCCTAGTCATAGATGGATGGAGCTACATCAAAAACAAAATCATTTCTGGAGACTCTTGAAGCTAGCTTATCATTCAAAGCAAGTTTAACAGTAAGTATGTACAAAATAAAATTAATCCAAACATCTAGACAGTTGTTATTTCCTTAACCATCAGGGATCCCATTTCATCAAATTGCAACCCCTTTACACTTTTAAAAACATATATTTCCCTTACTCTACAATGTGCTTTAATTCCCAAAATAACCATATCCTATTCCTTTCCCTCACAAATTCCCATCAGCTCCTGCTTTTTGTTCCTTTGCCCCCAATCTCATGGCTTTACAAACTTCTCTGGAAGTCTCCACACATTTGAGTGTGGCTTCCATTTAAGGAAAAAGTGGCCAATTATATTTTATTAGACAACTAGGTTGAAGATAAGTAGATGAGAATGATGACTTGTTGCTACAACAATTAGCAACTTGTTGTCACTAAAAATTATGAGCGGGCTTGATTCATAGTAAAATGTTTGGGAGCTAATTTATCTGTAGATATATAGTAATTAAACCACACAAACACTAAAGAGTAATTTTTTAGATAAAATTTGCCTTAACATGGTATTATATAAGTGAAAGATTCTCTCAGCTATCATTAATAATCGACTTTGGGTCATCACCTACGAGGAAATTATAGTTTTCTGCTCTAGTTAGGATTAAGCAGACTTTGGCAAGCTATCCCTCAAAAGTGTAACTAAGATCTTTCAAAATTTCCAGCAAAACATTTATGAATAGGAATGCATTCTTCACATACAAAGAAAATCATATTAGCCTTCTTACTTTGTCATATTCATATTATGAAAATGAAGTCAGAAATTATATTGTCCAGTGTCACGTTAACTAATTAATACTCCTCTTGAAGTATATAAGTTCTGAGTCACAAGGCAACATTTTCTCAGGATGCTTGATGTATTCATTTCATAAAGTACATTCCATGATTCTTTTTCAGAGTTCAGCTCAACAGGATACAGCAGTCTGTTTGGCAAACAGATAGGAATGGACTGGTTTACAAAATTTTTCAGTAGTTTCAATTATAAAAAAATCATCCTGCATTTATACTCTTTGCATTAAATTACATCAGAACAGAGATGTATGCAAAAGTGCTCCTGATCCCTACCACTCCAGTAGGACATGTAGAATATTTTGTTGATAATTTTTAAGATCTATAAAATCTGATGCTTCTTAATTTGACACTGAAAGTAAGCCAGCTAACTGGGCAAAGGTTATTCCAATGGCTACTATTGTGATCAACTACTGAAATAGAAAAAAAAATTAAACCAGGAGTATGTACATTTTAAACTCACTAGTGAGTATATGCACTCTCAAGCAGCATTTTATAACATCAATCAGCAATGTGTCTCCTCTTGCTAATTACAGCTGTTAATTAACACAAATGAGTCCAATCTCAGCAAATTAACAAACAAGGCTGACTGATGCATTAAGCATTGGTAAGCAGGCTGGGTGTCAGGTGGCAGGGCAATATGCTGTCACACAAGGAAATCTAGTGCAGATTCGGCACTTCCTAGGCCAGAAGGTATAAGGATCATTAGAGGATCATGTGCCACTTGAGAATAAGCCCCTGCCTGATCAGTGAAGGGTAACAACCTACTAAATTAAATGATTTATAAACTACTTTCTCTTACACAAAGATCACACATACACAACAAATTAATTACATTTTATTGATGCAGTAGTCCTCACTTTCACTGCCCTTGATGTTCTCACCCTTATTCCCACTTTCAACTTTCCAACAGTTTTAGGATTTTTTTCCTTCAATGATCAATGCTTTGTTAGCTTCAATCACTACCAATTCAGTGGCTCCCGTCCCTGTTTGCCCTCAGTCTCTACATAATCATCATACAACTCTTTCAAATGCAACAGCAATTCCTCTAGGTTCTCTCCAGTCAATGCTGACAAGGGGATGACCTTTTGTTCTAATCGAGCCTGAAGTTGGGGAAAATTGACTTTAGATTGAGGAAGGTCAATCTTATTTCCAATGATTGCATGCGGTCGCTCTGACAAGCCTTCTTCATATTTCTCTAGTTCATATTTTAAATCCTCAAGCTGAGTCCACGGTTCTGCTATCGAGAGATCCACCACAAATAACAGAAAGCGGCATCGCTCGATGTGTCTCAGAAAAGCAAAACCTAAGCCTCTGTTTTGATGAGCTCCTCTTATTATACCAGGAATGTCAGCTACTACAATAAAAAAAAAACAAAAAGAGCAAAAAAGCATGATCAGCGAACACCATATGTGATTAAGATCGCCTCCAGTTCATCTGTGCAAACTTTTTGGTTGAGTGAAAACATGATCATATACAGGAATTCTGGTGGTCAAAAATGCTGGGTTTTGTTATGATTTTCTCATCCAACTCACTACTTGAACTTGAATAGGTTCCTTTAAAACCTCAATATTTCAGTTGGTCCGTGTCTATGGAGGTACATCTGATTTACTTTTCTGAAAAATGCTTTGAAATATTTGGGCAAGAAAAATATGAAAATGTATTTCTACCTGCTTCTTTGTAGTAATGAGGAACAAAAAGTGTGGAACACTGTATATGATATCAGGCTTTTCCAATATGTTGGTTAGTTTTAATGAACTCTTTTTTATTCTTTATTATGAGGGATGACTCACTGTGAGGGGAGGGAAATATTGGGAGATGTAGATAATCTAAACACAAAAGATAAAAATTTATTTAAAAAAATTTGGGAGGCAACATATATTGGGCCAAAATATCAAGTGATAACTTGACAAATTCTAGTCTGCAAAATTATTCAAGAGAAAAATAGCTTTCTGTATGCCATAAATAACTTAGGAATTATTGCAAAGCACTTTGGAAATACAAAGAGCTACTCAAATAACACTACCAGCAGGCTTACTGGTAATTTTAACAAGTACATCATCTCCTAAAATAAATTTTTTTTCCCTCTTAAATGGCACAGAAAAAGTTTTTTAAATCACATGTGGTCCACATGACTGATATTGCTATGAAAAACACAGCACAAAGAATAAAAGTAGTAGAAATAATTTCCTCATCACTGAAATTTAAACAAAAATTTTCTTAACAGTAAGGTGACAGGATAATGATGAAAAATCACTCCCCCTAAAATCTATAATGATGGCATTATTAGAACATTTTGAGCAAAAAACATTTTTTTTAACATTTTAAATAGGAAGCTAAATTCAATTAAATCTAACCAGATATCACACCCACATTTTCCTCAATTATTTTAAAAATCATCCTAATCTCAAGTGTGTGTTAGAAAACTTACCTGCCACTTGTTCGTAGCCTTCATAGTGAACGATACCTACATGGGGATTTAAAGTAGTAAATGGATAAGAAGCCACAGCAGGTTTTGCATTGGAAATTGCTCTAAGAAGTGATGATTTTCCAGCATTGGGGAATCCCACCTAGAAGAAAAATGTTTAAATAGTCACGATTCTATGAAAATTTCTTTACACTTTTAAATTACCAAAACTAATCAGGATCCAAAGAATCTCTAAATGGAAACTAATTTTGATGGATTGACATGTACTAATACTAAACTCAACAACACAATGGCTGAAAAATAAAGGAATCTCAATTTCTTATTATTTCTTGAAAATTAATAAGTCCTTATGAATGCATTTCTCTAATATGTTGTTTTTAAAATGTTTTTCGCCCCCAGTAAAGGAAACAGTGAACTTGAAACAAAAGAAGATGAAGGAATTGATACATACCATTCCTGCATGAGCCATAGTCTTCAGTTCCAAATACAGTACTCTTTCTTGACCCCGTTGACCAGGGGTACAAGTCAGTGGAGCTCGATTGTCATTAGTCAAAAAAAAACGATTTCCTTTTCCTCCAGCTCCCCCCAAAGCTGCAATATATTCATCACCTGGCTGAGAAAGATCAGCTACAATTTCATTTTCCTCTTTAACCAAAGTGCCTGGGGGAACCTTAAAAATAAAGAAGATTCATAGATCTATTATCCTTTATACAACCATTGTGGATTTATTCTGAATTTAGTCTCTAGGCAAAGAATCAAATAATCACAAAGCCAAAAAAGGACAAAACTTTTACGCTTATTAATCAGGTTCTGCAATGCTTTTGTTAAAGGTTCACTGTGCTCTGCACTGCAGTTATAAAGTATATTGAAAACACAGTACTTATTCTCAAAAACACTGAGAGAAAAGAGAAGTGTACTATCACACACAAAAAAAGCCATAATACACTCAAATTAAATTTGTTTCTTAATGTCCAGAGACTATTATTGATGGTTCAATATGAATGTGAAGAGAAACAAATTGGGGGTGGGGGGGAAGTTTTGTTTTGTTTTGTTTTGTTGTTAAAGAGAAAAGCCTCCTTTCAGCATTGAACTTTTCTTTTCTGGCCTGAATAGAAGGTACATTTTTGCCTTTTTTTGTCCCAAGACTTCATGTATAAAATCCAAGTTAAGCTAGGAAACTATAGGAATCTAAAGACATTATGTTGAGCTATACTATGTTTGATAAGGCAACAACAAAAAAAAATACAACTTACTCTAATGTAAAGGCAATCTCCGTTACGCCCATAACAGTTTTTGCTTCCACCAGGCTCTCCATCAAACCCCCGATACACTGAAAGGACTGAAGATAATGATCGGACGTGCTTGTCAACTAAAAATTAAACCAAGGATTATTAAATTATTTCAGACTTGATTTTTAAAAATAAAGAGGTTCTATGAATTTTCTGTGGTCCAAACAAAAACAAAACAGAACAAAAACTGCATCTAGATACTGTTTGTCCTTCCTCCTTGAAGAGGACCATGATATCAGGGATGTGATGCCATGACTTGCAAGTGAATTGGATTACAGTGAGGGAGGGCTGTGAAAAGTCACTAGCCTCACTTTCTCCTCTGGAGCCATCTGTGTCCAGTGGCCAGATATGGATCAGGACAACTGGAGATGGCCTAGAAAGCAGTAGAGGATCTTAGCCTTTTCAAGCTAAGGTCTTTAACAGGTCTCACTTTGGCTGAGGCAGTGCCCACTCAGTGATTAAGGCTTCTAAAAAAATGAGGCAAAGAATGGCCTCTTTAAAAGAAAAAAATAGATCTGAGAGAGGAAGACCTTCAGAGTTTCTGGCCAAAACAGAAATAATTGTTATTTATATTCATTCTGAGCCAATCAGGGCCCAAACACTGGCCAAGTAAGGCTTGTCCTGGGACCAGAGTGATTTGGGGTTAAGGCTGGTCTTTAGGAGAAAAAAAAAAAAAAAAAAAAAAAAAATTTCAGAGATTAAAATTTACAATCCCTTTGGGCAGAGTACTGGCAGGTGCTCTTGATAAATGGAGTGATGCACAACATACATAAATCTTCTCTAAGTATACATCTACCAGAAGTTGTTAAATTAACAATGTGACTTAAGAAAAAAAAACTTCTCTTCATTTTCTTCCAGATAACCTATGAAAACAGTTTTTCTTTGCAGTTTTAAAGTACGAAGGTATATATTGATTTAATAAAATATGTCCACCAAATTATTTATAAAATTCAAATTTGTCTTTGGAGAAAGAAGTAGCTTTTAACTCTTTATAGAAACAAGAAATCCTTCCCAACAAGAAAGAGTAATTTACCTTTCAGAATAACATGGCCACCATCTCCACCATCTCCTCCATCAGGTCCACCATATTCTTTTCTGGGCTCACTATGAAAACAACTCATCCCATTGCCTCCATTGCCTCCAGTCACAAACACTCTTCGATGATCCACAAAATACCGTTTCTACAAAGCAAAGGTCATTTTCCACTACTAGTACATTTTTAATCTTTCAACAAACTTATTATATATGTATGTATGTATATAGCTATAGATAGGACATTTACCCTTCCTCCTTATAAACACTTCAATACTTCAACAGATCCCATCCATTCTACAGATCACAAACCCATCAATACCTTTTGATCCTATAAAATTCATGTATATATCTTTCCATAGATCTTCTAGTTCTTTATGTTTTGTGGACAGCAGTGAAGCACTTACCCATTTCATATCCCTCATTCTGTTCATATAATAAAGCTACTTCCTTTTCACTCATACATTTCTATGTTTTTTAAAAGTTCATACTATTAATACTACTAATCACTCATAATTCCAATTTTAAGGTACCACAGGATCAAGAGCTGCAAGGGATGTCATTGGCCAGTGAGTCAAAACTCCCTCACTGAAAGATAAAGAAACAGAAAGCGCAAGAGAAGTTTGACTTGTCCAAGGTCACATAGATAGCAAGTGGCACACTCAGAATTCAGATCCAGATCCTTTTATTCCAAATCCAGCCTCTTTTGCTGCAACCACTCTACTGTCAGAAGACATTGGTTTCAAAAGGCAAATTTAAATAAATAACCCACATTACAAATAAAATATTTTAATGAGTACTTAGTTTTTTAATAAAGTCCTCCTCTGTAGTATAGAAGTGATTTTGGGTTCTCAAAGAGTATGCCAAATTTTGGTAGGTCTTAAGCTTTGAGAATATGTGACTGACTGTGTGTCTATCTGTGTATAACCTAACTAAATATAGAGAAGCTCATCACTAGAATGCTGATTACCAAGTAAGGATTAGGGTTAGTTTGTTTGGGTGGGGGGAAGGAGGAGAGAGAGGTTAAGCCATAGCAACTTATGAAAATCATCTAACTGGGGAGTTCTTGAAGTGTTGAAGTATTCAATCCTTAATACATATTTTAAAAACAAACTCAAGATATCTAACCTAAAAAAAAAAAAACTACTCCCTAAACTTTTAAAAATAAAACCTCTTGCTAGATTATTCATTGAGGCAGTCTAGTATAGTGGAAAAAAAGCATTGCTTTTAAAGTTGAGAGACCTGGTTTTGAATCCAAATTCTAATGCTTACTAGCTGTGTGACTATGGGGCAAGTCATGTTACCTCTTGGGTCCTCAGTTTCCTTATGTGTAAAATGGAGATAATACTTGCACTATCTCAGAGGATTTTGTGAGAAAACTGCCTTACAAACTATAAAGTAATATATAAATGTGCCATTGTTATTTATTTAGGAACACAATCTTGGAAGAACAGCTCTCTACAAAGATAACAAAATTATGGTTCAAAAATGAAACAGACAAAAGACAAAAAGAGTGAGATAAATTTCTCCTAATATAAGTCACCCTTTCCCATAAGCAGAAGTGATATTTTGAGAACAGTATACTTTCTGACTGGAAAATCAGATTTTTAAAAAATGTAGTGATATATTAAAACTTATTTTCTAGTAATGACTTTTTCTGGAAAAGGAGATTGAGTGAGGAACAGCTATCTAACCATTTAGAACAAATGAAGGTGATATTTAGTTTTTGTTAGGATTTAAGGACAATATCACAATAAAATGTGGTCATGAGCTCCCCAATACCAACTTTTATGGACACAAACTCTGTCATACATCTATGTTTAAAAATGTTTAAGAGTTTAAAAAAAATTAGATTTCAGATCAACTCCTGTCTTTGAGCTAAAAAAAAAACAAAACTGGCCTTATACAGTGTGCACATAATAATAATTTGCTGCAAATCTTGACCATCATAAAAATCCTCCCCGTAATACATTGAAGGCCTCTTCATCATGTATTCAACTTTTTTCACAAATGGAATTTTTTTTAAAAAGCCTTTTAAATTTCTTTGGCACCACCACATGGAAAAACTGTGAATTACTGCCACAAGAATCAAGATATTTTCAGTGCAGTCAACATTGATTAATAATTTGTTCAGAAAAAGAAATTAACTGGCTAGCAGTATGTATATACAGATTATATAATTTCCTCCATAATAAATCAGATTTAAAATGCAGATGTGGCAAACATGTGGGAACCATGCAGAAATTCAGCTAGATTTTGGTTCAAATGGATATTAAATACGTTATTTTCATATACAATATGGTTGTCCTAATAATTTTAATCTACAATCTCCCCAGTTAGCAGAAAACAAAAATATAAGGAAACTTCTTGTTAATTTCAGTCAATGATTAGTTCATATCCCAAAAGATTTAAGAATTAGAGAACCACGAAAAATAAATGTGCTTGGTATTTTTTTAAAGAGAGGAATGCATATGACCATATTCAGTGAGTGTACAGATGTTCTTTTTTATTATTTTCCAAAGATTCTCTATAAAATCAATTATTTTCATTAGTTTCAAAAATATATTCCCCGATTAACTGTGACCACATTACGATAATTAGGATCAAGAAAAACCAAACAATGAGGAAAAATTCTCCTCCAAACAGCAGCTCTTATCTTCTACAATGAAAGCTAATGGCAGCATTAAATATCAAGCATAAAAATGGTATTCAATACAATACACTTTGGAAAGAGGTTATGAATTTTGTGTTCAGTTCTTACCAGCTTTTTCTCAGAAAGGTTTCTTTTCTGTTTAGGTTCCTGATGATTTGAACATTGTGCACAGCTAAGGAAAAGAGGCCTTGGAGAAGTTTGTTGCTGAAATAGGTAGCAAGGATCAAGAAGAGTGTCTGCAGCTGGAATCCAGGGCCACTTCCCTTCCAATATAGCTCTTGTTAGTGTGGGAACAAGCCTTGAAGGTAGCATGCTCACCTAAATGAGTTAATTTCATAAGCCAAATCTTTAGTTTGTCATGGGATTCAGACATCCAAATAGTAAACCCCAAAATATAAAGATCGACACAAATTTATGGCATCTTAAATTAATCCCTTCCAACTCTGAAATTTTTTAATGTACAAAACTTGTACTGAACCTGTTTAAATGAAATCAGAGATATTTATAAAACTAAGCTAGGACATCAAATTATCTGTCCGTGGGTTCCTCATTTAATATCCAGAGTTTAAAATATATAGAATTTTAGAACTAAAGGAACCTCAGAGATCATTTGGTCTCCTCCTTTCTCAATATCCCGGAAAATTTACAGATGAGGAAAAAAAAGGCCCAGATGTGAAGTGGTTTGTCTAAGGTCACACTGTCAGTTAATGATAGATCTGGGACTAGAATTAGTCTCCTGCTTCCCAGCCACTCTGGCCATACTGTTTCCTAGTCAAAGTGCATTCCTGACTTTTTTTGTTGTTGCTGAATTATTTCAGTCGCGTCCGACTCTCCTTGACCCTATTTGGGTTTTTTTTGGCGGGGGGCAAGATATTGAAACAGTTTGCCATTTCTTTCTCCAGCTCATTTTACAGATGAAAAACTGAGGCAAACAGGGTTAAGTGACTTGTCCAGGGTCACAAAGATAGTTAAGTGTTTATGGACAGATTTGAACTTAGGTCCTCCTGACTCCAAGGCTGGCTCTCTATCCACTGTACCACCTAGCTTCCCTTCATTCCTGACCTTACTTTTCTTATAGTAATTCTAAACAACAACAACATACATGATACATAGAATTTAATAGTCTGAAAGGATTTCAGAAGTCATCTAGTTCAAACCATACTTCAACAGAAATCCTGTCTACTATATTCTACAAGTGGTATTATGGCTGCCACTTGAAGACATCCAAGGATGGGGAATTCACCATATCCCAATACTTTCTTGATTAGATAGCTCTAATAATTATTAGGAATTCTTCCATTACACTGAATCAAAATCTGCATCTCTGGAGCTTACTATTCCTAGTTCTGCCCTTTGAAGTCATGCCAAAAACAAAACAACCCAATTCCTTTGCCACACAACAATCCTTCAAAAACCAAAAGACAATGATTAAGTCCCTCTAAGTCTTCTCTGCTCCACGCTAAATACTTCTAGTTTCTTCAACCTGTCCTCTTATGGTATGATTTTTTTTTTTTGTAATCTCACCATCATATCTAGAATGAGAAAGGACCTAAGAGGTCACAACCCTTATTTTAAAGATGAGAAAACTGAGCCCTAGGTATTAAATGACTCTCCCAAGGTCACACAGGTAGTAAGCATCACAGGCAGGATTTAAACTCAAATTTCCAAACTCCAAAGCTCTTTCCACTGTATCACATAGCCATCCTTATTGCCTTCCTCTGGATATGCTCTAGCATAGTTTGTCAATTTCCCTACTCAAATGTGGTACCCAATACTGAACACAATACTAAGGACTATCACATCCCTGATTCTGGATACTATGTTTCTGTGAATGCAGCCTCAGATCACATTAGTTTTTTTTTTCAGTTGTTTATCACTGCTGACTCAAAATGAACCAAAAATCCACTAAAAACTTATAAACTGCTACCTGCCCATGCCCCACCCCCATCCTGTATTTGCATATTTTTTTAAACAGAGAAGAATTTGAATATCCTTATTAAATTGGATCTTATAAAATTCAGCCTACTGGTCTAATTTATCAAAATCTTTCTGAACCCACCACTAGCTAACCCTGGAATTAGACTAACTTATATCTTCAGCTAAGTTACTGATATTTCAAAACTAATGGCAAAGACTATTCCCTCACACACATGGATACTGAATATGTAAAAGTTGCCCAGTTTAAGGAATCACTAACATATTTTTAGTTACTTTTAATCATACATTTATCCCTTCTCAATCTTCACAGGCAACTGTCTTTATTTGCAGATGCTAGTTATACATTGTTTCAAAGAAAAGTATACAGAAACAGCTGTTGGATCTGGGCACTCAGGAAGCTACCAATACTCTATACTTTATAAATTAAAAGATTAAGAAATAAAAATTTTGGAGGCTCCTGAATATAACCAAATTTCTAAGTAAAAGCAAGAAATGTAGAACGTGGAGGTGGGGGCATGTGAGAAAGGACAGTAGAATAAAGCACACTGGAATAGGCACCAGAAGACTTGGGTTCTCTGACACCCTTTTTGGTCCTGAGAAAGAATTAGATTTTAAGGCTCCTTGAAGCTATCTGAATCAAATCCCACTTTTTCTAAGAAGCCTTTCCTGGTCTCATTCTCCCTCCCCACCTCCTGGTGACTCTTTCACACCGAATATATCTAATGTACATAGATGTTTGCATTTTTTTGTCTCCCATTATGATGGGAGCTCTTTGAAAGCAGAGATCTTGATTTTTGTGCCTTTCTGTATCTCCCCAGGGCTTAGCACTGTGCCAGGAACAGTTAAGTGCTTAATAAATGCTTGACTGCCCAAAGCAAAATCAAAGAAGCTACTAAAACATTTGAATTCATTGGTTTGCTCTTTATAAAGCAAGTTTTATACCTTTATAGAGCACTTAAAGTGCTGAGGACTCTACCTGAGGACACAGCATCAGTAGCTTCCTGAATTGTAATCCCATTCAAAACACGTGCTCATATGTTAAAAAGGGCGCTGGACTGAGTCAGATAAACGTTATAGTCCCAGCTGTATGACCCTGAAAATAATTTCTCTGGGCCTCAGTTTCTCTATTTGAAGAACTCTAAGGTCCCCTCCAGCTCTGAAACTCCGACTTTAGGAATAATGATGCTTACCCTGCCCATCTTCCAGGGTAGGTGCCTCTCCACATGCCTCCCCCAAACTTGGAAGACAGGTAACCCTCATAGGATTTCAAAGCACTTTCTTTCCCTCATCTTCCCTGACCACGTCCGATTTGCTTACGCCGCGAGCTGACATCCCCAGCTAGCCTGCGATGTGTGTGGGGGCCGCCTGTGCCTTACTCCCTTTGGATACCCCCTCAATGGCCGGCACAAGGCCCTGCCCCAAGTGGGGCTCCGGGAAGAAATGACTCCCTCATGCTGACCTTTCCCGCCGCCAAAGGCCGGGGGCCAGGGCCGCTCCTCCAAGGACTCCAGCCTAGCCCTGCCTTTTTTGGGGGGAGGGAGGGAACAGCGGCCTCGCTGCACGCTGGGGTTCTCCCTCCCCCACCCAGCAACAACTTCCCTCCCAAAGGGTTCCTCGCTTCCCAGCAGAAAAACGCTTACTTCGCTTCGGGGGCAACTTCCGGTCCTACTTCCGGCTTCCCTCAGCCACGGGCCCCGCCCCCCTCTGGTCTTTCCGCAAATTCCACAGCCCCGCCCTCCAGCCCCCGGGCTCCTGCCCATTCGGCCTCGCCTAAACACCGTTCCCAATGCGCATGCTCGGAATCCGGTTCGGGCTGTTGCTTCCCCTTTTTTCCTCTCACTTGTTTTCGGTGGTGCCCTGACTCCATCCGGCGTGTGTGTGTGTGTGTGTGTGTGTGTGTGTGTGTGTGTGTGTGTGTGT